CAAATCGCGTGATTCGATCACCGTTAGGTATGTGGGTGCTAGTGCACTGTGTTTGCATGTGTTTTGTGTGTTTTTACATGTGTGATCGTGTCTTTGTACAATGTGTGTATGTAGTTTATGCATTATCGTATGTTTTTACTATTTCTTTTCCTACCTACGTTCAATTCTGCTTGTTTTGTTTACCCTAACGGTGCATAGAGATTCTTGCTGAAGTTTGTTTTGCATGCATCGATTTTCTACCTACGTTCAATTCTGCTTGCTAAACATTTTGGGATTTTACTGGTAATTAGACCTTGGGTTTTTTTTTACTACGTCTTTCACACATTTGAGTAGTTATCTATATTTACGTACTTATTTACAACTGAGCAATTATTACATTTGGCATACCTAGTCGCATTTGGAGTAGTTCTCTCCAGTTGAATGCTTACTCACATTTGGGTAGTTATTTTCTTTAATGTTTACATACTTATTTACAATTACATTTGAAATACCTATTCGCATTTGGAGTAGTTCTTTCCAGTTGAATGCTTACTCACATTGAGTGGTTTTTTTTATATATTTACATGCTTATTTACAATGGGGAGGGTTGCTCATCTCTTATTCGGACGTGCGCGGACAGAGCGGACTGGCTAGTTGCTTATCGTAGACGGTTGTCTTAGGCGGACGGACTTGTTCTTCGTAAGGAAGCAAAATCGCTTCCTTACAGCGTTAAATACCAAAATATTGATAAGAAAGATTTAACTAAAAAGTTTTAGAATATGTAAACTCCTGTTATTAAAATTCATGGAGAGTAAAAAAAAAAACAAAAAAAAAAACCTTTAAATTCCGTGTGACATTCTTTGACATCTGTTTGTTCATATGCATGTTTTGTCAGATGCATTGAAAAAACAAGAGAGAAAAGGAAGAGAAAAAAAAGAGAATTCGGTAAACTCTCAGTTAGTTGCATGGGTGTGGAAAGTTTAAGAGATGAAAGTGTACGAAAAGCTTGATCGCAAGAGAGTCGCCCTTTTCTCTTCGAACGGTGAGGACATTACAGTTTTTATCGCTCAGAAACAAACGCGTTAAGTGTTAAGCGTTTTTAAAAGAAAGAAGAAATTTAAAGTTTTTCTATTGCTTTTTATTGTTTAAATGAAGAAGTAAATAAATGAAAATCTAATAAATGTTAGAATTGTGAATTTAACATTCTGTGTTTGGTTTCGCAATTTATAAACGGTTGTAATGCATACCATTTCGGTTGAAGACACCATTTTCGTTTAGAATGCTTTATAAGAAATATGAAAGAAAATGATAAGTGTTTATGTGCGGATATAATTGCAAATATTAGCTGACCTTTCTACCATTATTCAGGCATTAAATAAATTACTTATGTACATCATGAAAGAAATTTGTAACAAACAAAATTTGTCATTTGTAACCTCTTGGCAAAAAATTTTAAATCTGAATGTGGGGCTAGGCGAAACACGCTATCGCCGGCGGAAGGGAGGTGCGCGCGCGCGATGGGAAGTAAGGGGGACCATGGGCAGTTACTGACAGACTAGAACCGGACCAGCGAACGACGGACAATAGACTTTATAAACGGTCGTAGACCGTTGTATGGACCAAATGTCCTTTGGTTTGAATGCTCTTGAAATTTAAATTTAATTTCTTTTTTTTAATTTTTATTTTATTGTCATGCGGCACAGCATACCACCTCAGGTTTATGAAATCTTAATATTCAAGATGTTGAGGTGATTGTTACAAATATCATATAAGCCCTCAGCTGGGTTTTTTTTAAAAATTAATGGCTTTACCGAGATAAGAGAAACGTATATCACGTTATTCATCGAGTGAAATACAGAGGATAATAAGACCAGAAGGTCCAGCAAGCTTGTCACAGGAGTCGATAAAGAGTTGTGAGAGAAGGGAACAACGAGAAGAAGCGATACACTGAAAATTCTCACAGTACGTCAAAGATCTGAGATTGACATGTTACTACTGACATGTTCACAAAATAATTTCCATCATTCTTGAGAAGGAAAACCTTGATTCTAGAAAACGGGAAAGAAGAAAAAATTGAAGATTTGCCACATCAAGGATGATTGAAATTAATGAAATAATATTACCAGCTGTGGAAACAGAAAGCTTCTCAGCCAGGACTTGCTTTAGTCAGGAGTCTAAGGTCGGCGGAACAATGACATCTGTTACGTTATAATTTCGATTGAACGCAGCTTATGCAGCAGGAAGAACTAATAATTGGTGAATCAGCAGGAGACCTCCCTTCGCAGGTTAAAGATTTTTGATATTTTAACAATGACGTTGGAGCTGTTGCGTTGTGGAGGTTATTAATGGCTATCCGACGATGACTACTATGTAAACCTAGCACAGAGTACGTCTTTGGATGCTATATCGGAAATTATGAAAATTATGGAAGGTAAAATTTGCTCATCAATGTCGACCCAACAATTTCTAGCCATTTCATCATTTCATTAATACATTGGCTCAAATCTCATTTATCAAACCCATTTTTAAAGCCATCTAAGCGAAAAGTAGTTTCAAAATTTTAGGGAATGATTGTTAGGTTCCAACGGGCCTGTATGCTTGCGAGCGGAATATAAATGCATAAAGTGTTATAAAAATGAACGTTTATTTAATATATTTGTTGCAAAAGAATTTACAAAACCGTACTACAAAAAACAAAAATATAAAAAAATAAATGACGTGTAATATGTTATTTTCTTTGCTGTCTTTAAGAATTCATTAAACTATTCAGGATCTCGTCTTAAATGTTTCTCAAATACTTTTAGAGCATCTTGTACAGTGAATGGTAAGTTAACATGAGAATATTAAAAACAGCCGGCATTTTCCATTTTTAGAAATCACATATTATATTAGGCAAGATAAACTTTTTTTTTTACATACTGTGAGGGGCTATTTCGCCCAAAACCTGGGTCCAGGCTTTCCGACATAGAAATGTCAGATCGTTGGCAGGTAGGTACGGGTCGTGTGTCAACATTGGCCACTGTAGGGCTTGTAATTTGTTTGCCTGACCCTGGGTGACGACTTGTAATGGACGTTGCCTCTTAGAAATCGATCGCTAGGTTGTCCTTTGGGCGCGCGTAGTTGGTGTCATAGGCCGCTACAGACCCCGACTCAACCAGGTTGACTCGTTGAACTTGGTCACTGTTGCTGGTCTCGTAAGCCGCTGTGGGCTCTAAGATGGTTTCGCAGGGAAGTGGATTGCCGCTATCAAGTTTCGGCGCAAAAGAAGGGCGTTGCTTTCGTATGTCGTAGGTCTCGCTGCAGAGAGTCGACTTAGGGTGATTTCGTTGCCTTGGCTGGGCAGGACTTCGCCCTTGTTTAACAGTGAACCTGTCTGGTAGTGTTGCGCGTTGTGGTCATGGTGTATTCGCTAGGCTGTGGAATACTATTGCTCGCAAGGCAGGTTCGTCTCGAGGTCCATTTGGATCCCCTCGCTGGTGATTGACTGCACGGTAGTCGGCCGCAGATCAAGCAGTCCTCGTGGGTTCGGGCAATTATACTGGTGGTGTCCGCCCTGGGCACATCATCGGCACGCCGTCGCCGTATTTATTCGCCTAGCTTGCCGCATTGGGTCCGGTGCCCACGCCATGTTGTTCGGCAGATCGCGCCGTCGGTCGCCTGGTTGGAATTCTCTGTGTGTTTCTCTGGGAGCTTCACATGGCATGTTGCCCGTCGGAATCGCCTCCAAATCGTAGGCGATCTCCGTGAGTTCGGCCAAATGGGGGAAATCTCGGCGCTGTATGTACCACAGGTAATCGGGGTGTGTACAAATGCATTCTAATTTCTGCTCTTTCGTCATGGTGGTATGGCGCACCAGATCTTGCAAGGCCAGTACATAATCTTGAAATTTTTCTCTCGGTCCCTGGATGCGTCGGCAGATATCATCTTCGAGTCGGGCGAGGTGTCGCGATGAAAAGAAGAACCTCCGAAAATCGGCCTTGAACTTCTCTCAAACCGTCCAGCGTTGATTGTTGCTGAGGTACCACGTTAAGGCCCAGTCGCGTAGCATCACCACCATGGTGGCGTGTAAAGGGTCTTTGTCGACACTATATGCTTCTGCTAGCTCTTCGGCCCGCTCAATGAAGGCAAGTGGCTTTTTATTGCTGGTAATGTTGAGTCCCAATCTGCTGACTACTTCGGCGGCAGGTCTTGTGTCGGCCGCTATCGGGAGTGCTCCGCCAATTGGGGCGCCGAGCTGGATGGTTTCGCTGATGCTGTTGGCTGGTGCCGAGATATTGGGGTATAATGCCGGTGCCATTTTGCTGTTCGTTGTCGTCACCGGAACGTGCAGGATTTCGGCGTTCGTCGATGGGTGTAAATTTTAGTAATAAGGGGAAATAAACAAAGTTACTAACTTCCCTGGGCGCTTTGAGTACTCTTTTCTTTATCACTTTTTCCTTTATTTTTTTTTTTGTTATTATACTTTTTTATTGTTTATTTTTGTTTCTTTTTCTTTTTTTTTAAATTTCCTTTGGTCCGTACAAGTTTCTAAGGGGAGTTAATAGCCTATGTCTATGTATTGTGAGGAGCCAAAGTCGTCCCTCGTTTTGGCCTCACACTTTCTCCGTCTCTGGTGTGGGAAAGTGCTAGTATAAGATAGAGAATAATTTAGGGACTAAGTGAGAGAGTAAGCTAGAGAACAGACGAGAGAATAAGGTAGAGCACAAGGGAGAGAATAGGTTAGAGAATAAGATTAGATTAAGAATAGGGTAGGGTAGAATAGTAGAGAGTTTTTAGTGAGTCAAGTCAGGGAAAGGGCTCGCTCGCAGAAGTAAGATTTTTGGATTAGGTTAGTTTTAGGAAAAATATCGAATGAAGTGCTGAATTCTTACAACTAGAAAGATTACGTTTAATAAATTTTCTTGTGAAGTATAACCTGGGGCCGCTGAGCTACCTCAGCACCAGGTTCGGGTAAAATAGCTCTTACAGTAAATTGTCTTTTTTGTTTGTATATAAAGTTATTACTATTAGGGGTAAAATATATATATATTTTTTGTTTATTATGCTTTCTTTTCCTTCCCTTTTCTTTTGTTTTTTTTTGCTTTATTATTATCTTACGAGTATCTTATGTATATGAACGTTTTTATGATTTCCCACGTAATTAGGTTTCAGTATCCTTTTTTTTTCACTAGGATCTGTAAGAAAAGAGTAAATTATTAAAATGTTCCTCTGATTATATCTAAAAAAAATTATTTGCTTTTTTCTAGAACTTCTTGGCTGGTTTCGTTGCCTTCGCTTGTATGCGTTTGGTCGTCTACTAAAATTTTTGCGTATATGTTCATTTTATGGTGAATACGCGCTCGTTTTTGAATAATCTTACAAAGGCGATCGGGCACAAATTATTGCTGTTAAGATTTTCCTTTGACGATTTGATTTACCTGGCTTGTTTATTTTTTTTGTTTTGTCTCTGAATAGTATTCACTGATTTAATTGCAGATGTTCCATGAATTTTCCCTCTTGGAAATTTTATCAGAAATTTTTTTTTTTTTTTTTTGTATTTTAAGCATAGTATTGCTCGCAAAACACTTTCTTGCCATTTCAAAGTTCAATTCAACTTTTATGATTTTTCCAAACATTATTTTTTTTTTTGTGCATTTGTGCAATTTTCTTCTCTCTCTAGTTCGATTTTCACCTATTTCACAATCGTCTTTTTTTTCATTGAGATATGTCCTTGGTCGGACGCCACTTGTGAAGGACTATTTTGCCCAAAACCTGGCGCTCAGCGACTCCAGGTTGTATCTCACAAGGCATTTCTTTGTTTCGTCCTTTGTATTAAATATCGTTGGAAGTAATTTATAAACGAGTTTTTTAATAGTATAAATTCATTTTTAAACTTTGTCTTATATTTTCTATTTATTCATAGTAACTTTTGGTATTTTCGTTTGTTTATTATAATTTTCTTTCTGAGGATGAGATTTCTTTGTTCCACTTCAAATATAAATCCATGTTCTTGATTCAAAGACCTATTAGCACCAGGCAACTTACTAACAACATCAATCATTTTTTGTAAAAATCGCATTTGCCCCTCACGATCTACGATTTTTCAAAATTTAATTCTTCCGCCGTGTACAAACCCGCGAAAAAGCCTGCGTCCCTTATAACCTAAAAATAATTGTAAAAATCTCATTTTCTTTAATATCGGATCAATATTTCATAGTTTTTTACCGCATTAAAGACGTCATGCAGAAAACGAAACGGTGACTTCTTCAGCATCTTTTCACTTAATGCCGGTTTTTTAACATATTTACCCAAAGTTATTATAACTGAAGGATTTAAGATGTTATCAGTCATAGTTTTTTAAAAATTCCTTCTATTAAAAATGATATACTAAAAGTGAAACATGCTTAAAGGAATATTTAGTTACTAGTCGTGGCAACGGATTTTCGTATCCTTGGTAATTTGAAGCCAACGATGCCACAGAACGTTTTTCCCTTTGACTCAATTATGGTTGAAAAGCAAATTTAGTCAAGCATGACGCTCATAAGAATGGATTTATATGCAGTAGAAATGATTTCAAGGGATTTTAAGAAATTGAAAAAAAAGGAAAGGGTCTCAAAACCTTTTTAAAGCGCATGTGGTATGAGGATATATTGAGGATACGTCCGGATATACACAACACCCAAAAAGACTTCCGAAAATCGCATTTCATTACACCGATCGATTTAGAAATGCCTTCTGAATTGATCCAAATTCGTGTGTTAATAATGATCTATTAATTTTTCATTCTTATTAAATAATTCGCATAATTTGTTAATGAAATTTATACTAAATCCAAGATTAAAAAAAAAAATTTGTAAATATTAGTTTAGGGAAAAAGAAATCCATTATTTTTTCGGTAGATGGCTGCACTGATAGATTTCTCGTAAAGTATCGATCAAACAATTTCCGATACTGTACATTTACATACTGTACATTTCGCAGTAAAAAAAATTCTTTTGCTGTTTTTTGTTTGGTGCATTCAGTTGTGAGTTACAGCGTGTTAAAAATGGAAGTGAACAAAGAGAAAATTCGATACATTTTACAGTTTTTCTTTGACAAAGGCGAAAATGCAAGCCAGGTGGCTAAAATTGTGAATGGTGTTTATGGTTCCGATACTGTAACAGCCAATTATGTGCAATTTTGGTTTCGTAGATTCCGTTCAGGAATTTTTGATGTTAAAGATGCACCTCGCACAGGTAGGCCGGTCGTCGAAAATGTCGATAAAATCGGAGAAATGATCGAAGTTGACCGGCATGTTAGCAGTCGTAACATCGCCCAGGAGCTAAAAATCGACCATAAAACAGTTTTAAACCATTTACACAAAGCTGGATTCAAAAAGAAGCTCGATGTTTGGGTGCCACACCAATTAACAGAAAAAAACATGATGGATCGAATTTCCATCTGCGAAGGCTTGGCCAAACGGAATGAGATAGACCCATTTCTTAAACGGATGGTGACTGGAGATGAGAAATGGGTCACATACGATAACCCTGTGCGAAAACGATCGTGGTCAAAGAGCGGTGAAGCACCTCAAACGGCCAGGAAGGTTTTGCTATGCATTTGGTGGGACTGGAAGGGGATTATTTATTATGAGTTGCTTCCATATGGCTAAACGCTAAATTCTGATCTCTACTGTCAACAACTGGACCGTTTGAAGATAGCGATTGACCAGAAACGGCCAGAATTGGCCAACAGGAGAGGTGTCGTGTTCCACCAGGACAACGCTAGGGCACACACATCTACAGTGACTCGCCAGAAACTTCGGGAGCTTGGTTGGGAAGTTTTAATGCATCCGCCATACAGTCCGAACTTGGCACCAAGCGATTATATCTTTTTCTTGCCTTGCAAAATTTCTTTAATGATAAAAAATTGGAATCTAGGGAGGATTGTGAAAATCGACTACTAGAGTTTTTTGCAAATAGAGACCAGGACTTCTATGAGGAAGGCATTTTGAAGTTACCTTTAAAATGGCAACAAATCATACAACAAAACGGTGCATATTTGACCCAAATCGGACAATCCGAAGCATGTTAAATAAAGTCCTGAAGTTCATATAAAAATAATGGATTTCTTTTTCCCCAAACTAATAGTTAATTCTAAGAACTTAGCGAAGGAGGGGTTTTCATTTTTGGGTACTGAGCTTTTCTCAATTCCATCGAAATCGAAAGAAGCGTTCGACGATTCTTATGGATTTCTTGATTATTCCTAACCAAAGTGACAACGTCTGCTCTCTAATAATTTTGAGTTGGTGCGTTTTCCACCTCCAATCGTACCCATTTCCCCGGCATCTTCTATTCTACTTTGTTATATCCCATCTAAGGCGAGTGCCTTTAAAAGTGGTTCGGATCGATAAGCATTTTCGGTCATTTCCCATACAACGCCCCATCTTGAAAATTGGTTAAACGTATTTCGACAAAACTGTTAGTATGAAACATTCAGTTCGGTTGTGCCAACTTTTTGAACCTCCTCTCAATAACCGCTTTGGGGTTCTATACAATTTTCAATATTTCATGGTGGAAATTTGTTCATAATAATAAATTGACAAAGAATTTGAATTGACCGAATTTGAACCACGTAGATCTAGTTTTTGATACCATCGCTTACAAGAACTCTCAGGATATGCAAAAAGGGCCTTATACGCTAAAAAGGCCTAATTGTCAATATTTTATAATGAAAAGTTGTTCGTGGCAGTAATTTGACATTGAAATTGAGAGGACTGAATTTCAATCACATGGGCCTATTCCTTTCAACTTTTTCTCCACTCTATGTAAGAGTTCTCACGAATAGTGAGTCCCACAATAAGTTTTTAACGAAGTTTATGACGAAATGGTGGCAATTTAGCCAAAAAATTAAAGGCATGGAATTTGGATCAGGTGGGTTTATTTTTTAGACTCTAACATATGTGGGGATTATTACGAAAAGCAAGCCCTCAAGAAAGTCCAATTTTTAATTTTGGAAATGGAAAAATAATAAAATTGTTGCTTGATTTGAATCAGACGCCAATGTGATGTTTTGGCCATTTCCCAAAATACTTTCTTGGGCTTTCATGAAAAGCATGCCTTTGCATGAAAATAATGTGCAATTTTTGGCGAATAAGTGCACTAGACGAAGTCATGCAGGACATCTAAAGTCGGCCTTGCTTGACTATGATCTACTTACTTGTTTCTCAAAGACACAATGAATTTTAATTGTGTTTTTTATCTATTTCAAAAGTGCCAATTTTTGATTTTCGGTTTAAATAAGGCTCAATCATGAGCCCAGGTCTAGCAGTCATAATAAATTAAATACATACATGGTTAAACCTTAAGATTAATTTCTTAATTGCGTGTCGAGAAGAGAACCTGCGTGTTCTCAGTTTCTCAATCCAAATGCTTTTGGAAATTATTTAAACTCCAAGTGTCAAATCATAGACGAAGCCTGATTACATTTTTCGATATTTACACGCACTATTATTATAGTGATTTTGCGAAATTCTTTTCCACGAGATTTCAAGCTACCTCGAGCAACGGAAAATTTATGGTACATAATTTTAATGGATGTAGTATTTTGTTCAAATTCTAGCGAACAAATATCTTATGGTCAGTTTTGGTTGGTTCAGCATCATGAGCCTTGTTGGCGTACACGTTCCTTCCCTCAATACATATTTTTATTAGGCGAATGTCTTCGGCGCAACAAAACGATATAATCTTTACCTTTCCCTCACTGAAACATTTTAATCACGATTCCTTTACTGCCGACAGCATTTCCTATTGTTTAAATAAAAGGCCATAAAAATTACTTTGATTTAACGGTTCTTCCAAGTTTTTTAAATGTACCTTATTGTGTACATCATGTTTAATAAATTTCATGTTAACGATAGTGTTGTTCGTTTATTCTCTAAGCTATTATAAGTCTTTCCAAAAGCTGCAATAAAAACCATTGCTTTTTATATTTAGAAAAAGTATATATAAAAATACTTATCATACACTCAATTTACAAAGTACGTCTTACGTATAATAAATCAAGCATTAATTGTTCAGATTACTTTTCAGGTAAAAATTATTGTCAGTTTTTCAATTTTGTTTAGTTAATTTTAGTTTTTCAATTTTTCTTTTTCGCTTTTTACGGTTTCATTATTATCCGTTTTGTTAATTTGTTTCGAACTGTTAACAGATTTATCTGCGTTTTTCTCCTCTTTGATCGTCATCATCACCGTCGTCCTCGTCATTGAATTGCTGAATTATTTAAAAGTTTTTTCATTGAGTCGTTTTGTATAACAACGGTAAACAATAACTTGACATTTTCGCCCATCGGTAATGATTTATTAGATGACTCAGCTGGGTAGTGTAAGTAAGAGTCCCCACTATACGAAAATCATTTACTCGACTGTCGTAATTTCATGGGCTGTCTTGTGATCTTTCAGCCAATCTATATAAGCCGTATAATCTCCATTGGCAGGTAATGACGGTGTCACGATGCAGATGACAAGGAATCAGGATGTAAAACCATTGTCCAATAAAATCTTATTCAGTTTATGGGTAGTGAAATCCAAGCAGGGACTTTGCGTTTGTGCATTACAAAGGTTTTCCAGCACCTCTAAAATTATTAAAATCCCCTTTAGACGTAGCTTCTTGTGTGTAATCTTCTATTACACGATCAAAGTTGTATTTAGTTTTATAAAGATAGTTCCTAGCAAAAAAGCCGCCTTTTTTTAAGAAAGCTTTTTCGTCAGCTTGTGAATTATCCATACGATGTTTTAAAACAAGTGCCTGTGCTTTCATAGCCTTTATTTCCTGATAATGTTTTTGACGCTGAAATAAATTTCCCGCACCGTATCCATCGTAAGTTAAATAAATAAATACTGACGATGTTGGGGAGAAAACAAAAAATCAGTAAAGTGGAAGTTGAAAGGTATGCTCTCTTCCTGAATTTTAAAGGCTATCTTTGGCTGATCGTGTACTGAATTAATAACTAGCATCCAGGCTTGTTGAAACGATGATGTTTGCCCAAAGAAATGCTGACAATGCCTTCTTTTTCATAAGTATCACATAGGTGTGAGTTTGCTATTGTTCACTATTGTTCTCCATAAGACATAATAAACCTAAAGGTATTCCCTATGAACAATAACATGGCCAGTAATGTCAACCATCAATAAGATCTTACCATCACAAGCTCTTTTGTCTTACTATATGTTTAAGGTTTAACTGTACAAAAATCATTATTATGAAATAAACAGCGTGGAATCTATCAATGTTGTTCGCCAAATTGCTTCTGCTTCAATATGCAGAGGAACCAATTTAGTTATATATCCTTTTCATCCTCTTCATCAGACGTAGGAGCTGCAATGCTGTTAGTATATGCTGGTGGATGCGCCAGAACGTGATCAACAAGACCCATACTTTTAGCCTTCTTAGGGCTCATGTAACTGTCTATCTCCATAAGTTCGTAGAGTCTTTCGTATGAGAGCATTGTGTGTTTCACATAGATATTAGTTGTTTGTTCCTTAAGTTTAATAATTTCTCTGGCTTGAATTTGTATATCAGTAGCCTGGCCCTGTGAAAATACGCTAATTTGTTGAAATATACTTGTATCATCATATTATATTGAACGCACCTGAGCGCCACAAGAATGTCGATGAATCGTGATTCATGCGTTGGGCAGTGATATCGCATTCCCGGTTCTCCGGCGGTGGGCGGCACATTTTATTTTTTTACATTTTATTTATTTATTTTAATCCTACTTATACATGAAACTAAACAAATAACAGTCGAGTTCAATTGGCACTTAAAGCAAAACTTATATTAAATTAATAATAAAACTTAGCATAAGTACAATAAAATAAAATGAAAAAAAAGCATGTACACAAGCAGCATAGAGCCACACTTACAACCGGTACAGAGCCAAATTGCCAATGAACCCCTAAGCCATCGCAAACATGCATTTTTAAGGATAGAAGCTAGGTTAAGTAAAACATAGGTAAATCGCGCGTATTAAGCAATGTTGCTTTAATGGACTTTAAAGAGTCCGATAACGAGAATAAGTGATAGACGTCATTTAGGTTCTTGCAAACGACACGGAGCGGATTAAACAACTCATAATTATATTTATACTGACTAAGCGTAACCAAGATAAAGTGCCTAGAGAAACGGTTGGGGACATTAAAGCTTATTTCACCAAGTAATAAAGGCGAGTTAATAGCACCATTTTATTACTTTGATTAAGAAGGAATAGCCAAGAACAAAATTATGTTTCTCGAGAGGCGGTAAGGACAACAGAAGCAACCTATTTGCATAGGTGGGAAGAGAGGCAATTGGCTCCCAATCCAAATTCCCAAGGGCAAACAGCAAGAAGTGCTTTTGAGCAGATTCATTTGAATCTACATAGCACCTATATGAAGGAGATCACACGACAGAGGCATACTCGAGTATAGGTCTGACCAAGCACATGTGCAGCCTTTCCTTAATGTAAGGATCACCAAGCTCGTTGGACCACCTCTTATAAAACCAAGCGCGGACCTAGCTTTGCTTAACGAGAGCTCAATATGCAGGTCAGAACGTAATCTATGGTCAAATAGAACGCCTAAATTTGTGGACGTATCGACGTCCTCCAACTTATGCGAATCAATGAAATGCTGAGTAACGAATGACTCTCTTCTTGAGAATGAAAGCTTCGTACATTTATTTAGATTTAGCTTTAGAAGAATCAAAGAGCACCATGCAACTAAATTATTCAAGTCACTTTGAAGCTAATGTGATTGCGATTCTACAGAGAAGGAAGAAAGCAGTTTCACATCATCAGCATACATTAAGATCTTACTGGAATTAATCACCGATGGGAGATCATTAATGTTCACTGGGAATTCATCCGAGGTGATGAAGCTAAACAAAACCCTGAAGGATCTATTGTGCAGATATGAGCTTATCCATTTCATTAAATAGAAAGGGAAGCCAGAGGCTTGGAGTTTAAAGATAAGTAAGTTATGGTTAAACAAATCAAACACTTTACTTAAAGCATTGTATATTATATCTGTGCGAGAGCCACTAGAAACATCCTTGAAAACATGACAAGTAAACTCTAACAAGTTGGCAATTATATTCCACGTATTATTATTATTATTATAATTTTAGACTAATGAAATAAATTCTTAGACTAAAAAAAAGACATTGAGCACTAGCAACACAGGCTATCGGCTCTAATTTAAATAAGTGGATATTGGATAATGAGCTTAGTAGTATTAAAAAAGTAATATATTGAATTGATATTCTGTTCTGAAGCTGATTGTAGAATGTCCAAAGGGTTAATCGTTCCAAGTGCAATACTTCTAGCCAAGAAAAAGTTAAGGCAGTCGCAGAGAATGTGCTTTATGGTGAGAGTTTGTCCACAACTGCAGATTGGGGAGGAAGACTTCTTCAAGATCCATTGGTGGGTTGCAATTGTATGACCAAGTCGAATTTTCGAAAATGTTTGGATCTTCATTTTCTCAACATTAGTTGGATATAAAGGTGGAGTTAATTGAGGTTTAATGGAAGAGTAGTTTTAATGATGGTACTTTAAATTTTCTTCTGCAATTTTCTCTTTAACTTTTCTTCCAATGTATCATAATTAGAGGAGCAGAAGCGGCATCCTTTGCCGCTCGTTCAGCCTGCTCATTTTCCAATAAACCGATGTGCATTGGTACCCATAGCATTTTAATTTTCCGTCGGGTGTTATAATTATATTCCTTAATTTGTTGATGGTGCTCCATCTCGAAGTCGAAGGATTCCGAATAGCTTGTCTTACAGACAAACTGTCGGTAACAATGACAATTTTGAGTTTGTTTTTATGGGCAAGGTTCGCAGCGTAAAGGATAGCTCTGGCTTCGGATATTGCAAGTAACACCAATAGCTTGTAAACAATCAGTAATAAAGGCAGAAGCAATCTCCAGACATCACATGCAGCATTTTGACAGTATACTGTAGAATTATCGATTTATCGTCATCTACCTGTTCAATAATCATTTATGCTTAGATTTCACTTTTATATATTTCCACATAATGTAAACGTAGGTATAACCTCGTTAAGATATGTCCACATACTGCCAGTCAAGTCAAGCTATGACCTAGTTAATATAACGCAATCTAGCTTTACATGTAACTTTCGTAATAGCCTAGTTTAATTCCACTATTTTGTTAGCATAATAATTTATTGTATAAATTACTGACCACAGTTCAGCAAAGTCAGATATAAATTCGGAAGTAAAGTAAGAAGTAAAGTAAAAAGTGACGTAAGATTTAATAAGCAAGAGTTAATAAGTAAGAATTAATACGAGTTTAAAATCAAGAGAATTATAATAAATAACAATTCAAACGAACCTTTGATTGTGTTTTCACTACCTGGCGACCGTGACAGGAAGCCGGTGGAAAATTTTTTTTTCACAATTTTGCATTTAAATAATCAATTTACATATTTGCGGATGCCTTGTAAAAGGAAAAGAAATTGAAAAAAAAGAAGGAAAAAAAAACTAAACACATATATAAAATTAACAAAAGATGCTCTATGAACTCGCGCAAATAAAAATATAAAATAAAGGTAAAGGCGAAACAAACATTTAACAAAAAAGGGATATGTTTGTGTTTTCCAGTAAACTAGCAGAATTTAACGAACTTATATATAACCCATTTGTATGGGTTTAGTCCAGTTAATATAAAAAAAAAAAAAAACAATGAACTGAGTAAAAAAATATATATATATATTGTGAAAAATATGCGTTGGACCATAAAAAAAAAAAATCCTGAAACGAAGTAGAGGTGCAAGTGATAAAGATGCAGTGACCAATTAAGTATCGATGAAGGAACCAAGAATAGCCAAAGCTGCCGAACGAGAGATCGAGAATACACCACGTAATCAACAGCAAGTATAATCTAACGAATACAGCAGAGATACAGATACAATAAATATATTACATATTAATGTGATTGTTATTTAAATTATCTTAAAAATACATTACACCTAATTTATCGTCCGCAAAAGGATAATAAGTGCTTTTAAACTATGAAAATAGGTTGCTTCTGCTGTCCTTACCCTCTCTCGAGAAACGTAGATTTGTTCTTGGCGTTTCCTTCTTAATCAAAGTAATAAAATGGTGCTATTAACTCGCCTTTATTACTTGGTGAAATAAGCTTTAATGTCCCCAACCGTTTCTCTAGGCACTTTATCTTGGTTAAGCTTAGTCAGTATAAATATAATTATGAGTTGTTTAATCCGCTCCGTGTCGTTTGCAAGAACCTAAATGACGTCTATCACTTATTCTCGTTATCGGCAACAACGCTAGCTCTCGATAAGCAACGCTAGGTTCGCGCTTGGTTTTATAAACAGGTGGTCCAAAGAGCTTGATGATCCCTACATTACGAAAAGACTGTATATGTGTTTGGTTAGTTCCATACTCGAGTATGCCTCTGTTGTGTGGTCTCCTTCATTTAGGTGCTATGTAGATTCAATTGAGTCTGTTCAAAAGCAAATCTTGCTGTTTGCCCTCAGAAACTTGAGTTGGGGTCCGATTGCCTCTCTTCCTCCCTATGAAAATAGGTTGCTTCTGCTGTCCTTACCCTCTCTCGAGAAACGTAGATTTGTTCTTGGCGTTTCCTTCGTAATCAAAGTAATAAATGGTGCTATTGCCTGCATTACTTGGTGAAATAAGCTTTAATGTCCCTAACCGTTTCTCTAGGCACTTTATCTTGATTAAGCTTAGTCAGTATAAATATAATTATGAGTTGTTTAATCCGCTCCGTGTCGTTTGCAAGAACCTAAATGACGTCTATCACTTATTCTCGTTATCGGGCTCTTTAAAGTCCATTAAAGCGACATTGCTTAATACGCGCGATTTACCTATGTCTTACTTAGCCTAGGTTCTATCCTTAAAAGTCGTTACGATTCGAAAATGAATTGTTGTTAGTATTACCGGTTGCCAGGCTTATGCATGTTTGCGATGGCATAGGGGTTCATTGGCAATTTGGTCCTGTACCGGTTGTAAGTGTGGCTCTATGCTGCTTGTGTACATGGTTTTTTCTTTTTTTTTTCCTTCTTATTTTATTGTACTTATACTATTATTAATTTAATATAAGTTTTGCTTTAAGGGCCAATTGAACTCGACTGTTATTTGTGTAGTTTCATGTATAAGTAGGATTAAAATAAATAAATAAATAAAAAGACGGCGTCAATGTTAAATCAACCACCTTTTCACTCAATATTTGCCCATATAAGTAACTAAACCAAGATACTAAGCAGTCAAATGACTGGTAATGTGATAGTGCGATTTCGTTATGTTAGCAGGGATATCAATATCAATAAGAGCATGACTTCCTTTCTGTTTTAAAACAAGTAAAAACTCTTCACTGGGTCACGGCTAACCATTCAATAGCCTACATGCGTTCTCTAAACGCAGTTATTCATATGACTTTTTACAATAAGGAGCTACATGTGGGATAACATAATTTCATCAAAACAAAAATTGCGAAATGCGGCTTGAACACAACAATTCAAGTATTGTCAAGCGGACAGACAAGCGTATAACAATTCAGAAAATAACTGTGAACCGTGTTAGTTAGTTCACGAATAATAAATAAAGCGCGTTTAATTAGTCTTAACTCGTTTTATTTCAAATCAAAGGTACTCAACATCTGTAGTCACAACTGGCAACTTCGTTATTTAGCCTTTAGTTGCATTTTTTCATATCAAATGTGGTAGTATAACTTCACGTATTACGTTTCTGTTTCGATGCCAAGAAAGATGATGTACAAATGGTTTCACCACAATAACTAATTTACCATGGTCGGCTAGTGTTTTCAAACCAATAGTATCCGAAGTAAAGATCTCTCGCTCATTAAAAGGGATCACATCAAGAGATCCATTGAAAAAACCAAAATGACTGAAAAAGCTAGAATTGATTAAAAACGATGAAAGCCCCTACTTTTGAAGATTCCTAACCTTGATTGCCATGGTGTTATCACACCATCGTCGGGACCACCAATCAAAACCATTTTATCCAGACGTGTTAAAGCAGTCCTAAAAATCGATGAATTTGAAGTTTGAATTTCGTTATTGATGTACGGCAAGAAAACGCTATATCTACGATACAAATCTTGCTTACGAGGGTCGTTCCAGTAGTTAGCAACCGAAGTAAGCTGCCCCACTTTGGAATAAAACAATTCATAAACGGTTCTTGCTGCCAAATCGGGGAATATTAAGTGGAGAAAATTCGCTGAAAACTATTTTTAAGTACCTTTTCTTGGAGTTTTTATGCGATTGACTACTTACTGCCATATTGTCCAGCCTGTGGTGAAGATAAAGATATAAAAACTTTCACATTATGATTTGGCATAGTCTGTATGGTTGCGCGCGCTAATAAACCCCCCTGGGAATGTCCTGACCGACCCAATGACGTATTACTAATAAGGCAAAATTTAACATAGTTGTTTATATTACCTATCACAATTATACCTCCCGGGTGCAATTTTCCAATGGTTTGGAAATAATCTCTTAATTCGTTTACCTGCTTCCAAGCGTTTTCCAAACTGAACCAGTTGCTAAATAAATCACAATTGTAAACCTTGGTACCAAAATGTAACTGCAATTGTAAGCAATGACTAGAAAACGGAAGAATAAATCAAATTTCTTTAACTTACCAATTCAATTTCCCTCTGCAAAGATTTCATTGAATCTGCTCCAGAAAGTATCCCATGCATGATGATCACTGGTTTGTAAGAAACGATGAAGGCGAAAGCGCCTAAAAAAAGATTCCATTGTATTACGTTTCTTAAAAATTGCATGACTTTCCGATTAGATTAGCTAAGCGCAACTAAATATAAATATGCTCCTGAACTATGCACAATTGTATTCCACAGTGCTCTTTCAAAACTTTGTTTTGATCGCACCCACTTTATCTTTCTACGCCATACAATTGCAATCAATTGCAAATTATATCGTCATTTAATCAATGTGAAGTCACGATGAGGCGTAAGGGAGACAATACAATGAGATGTCATTTTCGCATTCGGGTTAAAAGCTTCCAAGTGGTAACACAATTCTATCCTTTTTTGTCTTCTTGTCGTATTTGTATGCATAGATGCATAACTATAAGGCTTATCAATTTTCATAAATATTTGCAAAAAGTCGGCAATGTTGAAGTTCTAACCTAAAATAGGAATAACGCAGATTTCAATTTTTGGTTTATATTCGATATTTTTTATAAGGTAAAAACAAAGTTGTTGTTCACACTTATGTTGCTTCCCTTATTTTTACTCCTCAAACGATGTGTTTTTGTTTATATTTACATCGACTTCCTTATTTTTTCTTATCAAAAAATATGGTAACGCAGCTTAACACTTCAGACTTAAAGAGAAAATAACGCACCATTGTGTTGAGCCCATTCTGCTCATCGTCATTCAAAAAAGCTAATAAATAAATAAACACAAGAAGGCATTAATGTTACTAAAGCTAGCAAAAGGTGCATTCGACGGCAATAATTTGCGTAATTATGGGGTACGAGCAGCAATCAAAACGAAAGCTCGGCAAGGAACACGGCAGCTTCTAATCGAATGTAAACGATCCGAGTTTAACCTTTATGACAATTCGCCAGGAGACGCTCATTTCAAATTTGGTACTGTGCCACTGGCATCTAGTGGCTGGCTTCATAAGAAATCTAAAGATGACTGGTTTCATATTAAGGCTACGGTAGATGAAAAAAGCGAACATCATGAAATGCAGAACGTGGAAGAGTTCTTTAGAAATACGGAGGTCGCAATTCATAAACCATTAATAGATAACTTGCAAGTAGAGCTGGAAATTAAGCAGTTAACGGAAATTCAACGTCAAGCGTGGCATAAACTTTACGATAACAACCATGTTTTAATAGCAGCTGAGACAGGATGCGGGAAGACCTTGACGTATTTGTTGCCTATATTGCAGAAAATAGTGGAAAGAAAGCAATGTGAAGCCGGTGAACGGAAATTAAATTCTCCGTTAGCGTTGATAATATCTCCAGGCAGGGAGTTGACAGAACAAATAGGCTCAGTGACGCATCGTTTATGTAAAACTCTGAATATAAATGTGAAGACGCTTCTAGGTGGCAATACTAAGCAGTTGTTGATAAACCCAGAATTTGGAGAAGTAGATGTATTAGTGGCATCTGTAGGAGCTCTCAGCAAATTAGTAACTACCGGTATCTACCGCACGAAGCACGTCAGACACGTGGTTTTAGACGAGGCTGACACGTTGCTGGACGATAGTTTTTCAAACAAATTGGGGCATCTTCTTAAAAAATTTCCGGTAAGTTTAGTAAATTTAACGTACGTCCCCAGTTTTAATTGCAATTAAATTGCAGTTTCACAGAAATCGTACAAATAACGACTTGGTGGTAGGGACGCAGCTAGTTTTTGCGTCGGCTACCATGCCTACAAATATTCACGAGCAGCTGCATCAAGTTATCGACATCGAAACCATACATAAAGTAGTTAGCTCCAATTTACACAAACTCATGCCTCATGTGGAACAAAGATTCCTACGTATCAACAAATCAGACAGACTTGGTCATCTCCTAGCGATTGTAAAGAAAGAATTAGCGCACCGTAGACCGGTGATTATCTTCAGTAATAAAACACCCACGTGTGATTATGTAGATATATTTCTTAACAATAGTGGCGTAAACTGCCTTAATCTTAACGGTGATATGTTGCGAAAAATACGTGCAGGTCGTTTCGAGCAATTCCAAAATGGGGTATGTGATGTGCTCTCCACCACAGATGTAGGCAGTCGCGGTTTGGATACCACAAGAGCGAGGCACGTCATCAACTACGACTTCCCTTTGCATGTCTCAGATTATATTCATCGATGCGGACGCATTGGTAGAGTGGGATGCTGGGAGAAGTGTGTAGTAAGCAATTTGGTATCATCAAGAAGAGAAATTGACGTTGTTCAACGTATAGAACGAGCTGCCCGAACGGGAGGTTTATTATCCGATGTGAATGCAAATATTAAGAATATTATAAATAAGAAAATTATGGAAGATATGAAGCAAGCAGGTGTACCTTTACAAGTAGATGAAGCTTTTTAGTTTCCTTTTTTATTCAGCATTATTTCATTAAAAAATAAACCATTTAAAATATAATCCGCCGACGCTGCGTCTTTTCGTTATTAAAAATGGAAATAAACTTAACTTAAGCATCGTAAATGCGAATCAAGTCGTTGTAGGTTATGCCATAGCCGCTAGTTGGACATGAAGCCTTTGCTCTCAAATGATTAATGATGCACTTCCAGCAATACACATAACCTGATGTCGCACATGCAGTGGGATTACTCAATTCCATTAAACATATAGGGCAACGACCTTTGACCACACCCATTTTTTCTGGCATTTCCTCGAATTTTATCGGCTCAGGATTTATCAAACTACCGCCCACTTTCCGCTTTTGATCACTGGAATACCACCATTGTATAAACTGCAGAAAGAACGCAGTCACTTCCAAGAGTTTCAAAAAAATGTAAGTAGTTTTATTTTCGCAGACAATTTCATTAGGATAAGTTAAAAAAAAACCTAGCATTTTAAATACGGGCGAATGAGAATTGGTATATTTCATTAAATACGTGACAATGTGAGCTATTTTGACAACTTTATAAATACGCAAGCAATTCAATAAGTTTTTTTGCCATTTACTAATATCTCTATTTTGTTCTTTGTTTAGTAATTTCTTCTCGGCGTATGACCAGCTGGTAAGCAAAGTGGCTGATAAAAGTTGATTCTTTGTGTCAAGCATCTTTCCTGTAGACGAATCCTTTCGCAGCAGGCCATAAAAGCTTTCTCCGAAGGAAGCTCCACGTTTTCGCAAATATAAATATTGCAAGCTCCAGGTAATAAAGGGCGTGAGCTCGCGTATATGCCAGACATTCTGTGTAGTGCCATAAATCTGAACATCCAAACGCAAACCAAGGTAATCAAAGATTTTACTTAAAGCTGGATAAATAAGATTGTCTAAAGTTTCCGCGGCAGTTAACTCAAATATTGAGGGGAGATTTTGCAAATTTTGTCGCACATTAGCACTTTCCGACATATTCGTTTTTATTGCTTTTTTATTAACAGCTTTAAGTAATAATCTAAAAGAGCAATTACTTCGACGAACGAACGCTACCGTTAACTGTACTGTAATATTCATATGCATACAAAAAAAGTTTTTTTTTTGTAATTTATGAAGACTGAAGACATCCCCACATAAAGTCTTTGCTCGCTTATAAGGCTTTGAAATTTGTCGACATCATAGAGCATGCAAATGCATCGCGCATCATGCCCTGAAAAGTCACAATACGAAATCGCTGCGAATGTTTACCTGAAAGCGGAAATTTATCTTCCACCATGGCACCTAGATAGCCAACTTTCATCTTAACTGCGTACATTTGAAAGCAAAGCCATAGCGGCATAGATCTTTCAAGCATTATATTACTAAGTCATTATTTGAATTTTTAGTGAAGCATAATATCGTTCTGTATATGGAAGAAAAAAAGAAATTTCTATTGATATTGAATTCGATGTTAACCCAAGAATTTTTGAAGAAGTGTTAATCAACGCGCAACATAAGAAGGGGAAAAATATGGCCAGTATCCTCCCGGCTACTGGAATTAATGATAAGAGTAAAAGATTGCTACACAAATGTTCAAAGATCACATATTTACATAGCAAGACTTAATATTCAATTAAAATTAATTATTGAAGTCAATTATAAATATTATGATACCATTTTTCGTGACCTTACGAAAAGTAATAAAAATTATCTTTTACTCAAAAAAAATCAGTATTCAAAGAAATTCTTAGCATTCCTTTCTGTATATTAAGTAGCTTAATTATTTTAATGTGTTGTATCAGTGTAGTAATGCATGATGCAAACGCACTTATTGCGTTTATATGTTCAAGTTTGATTACTGTACAAAAAGCAGTAATGCACGATGTTATCATGCTTAAATAATCCTACGTAAATAAATAAATAAAACCACGTTACAAAAGAAAAAGTGATGGAGTTTTAATTTTATGCGATTATATTATATTATTACATGCTGTTTCACCCTATGACAACAATCGCGGGAAATAGTCGTAGCTCTAATCTTAAAATAATTCAAAGACTTCAATTTAAGACTTTGGTTTATGGTTATGCCGATGGGTTTGTCAGTAACAAAGGTATTCGTGATGACATTTCGTTAATTTTTTTAATCTAATGTAATATTTCGTATTTTTGCAATTTTGTAGTGGTGTATTAACTTCAATCCCGAGATTCGGTGCTCACAAAGAAAAAAGTTTGTGATACATGAGTTTTTGCTTTTTTTGTGATTGGTCATTGGTTCGCGTTAGCTCGGATATGGTTGTGTTTCTCAGGAGAAAGAAAAACAAAAGAAAGAGATATTAAGAATTATTTCTAAAAACGTGAGATTTCAATAAATTATTATGACTAAAAGTTTCTTTAAACCGCATATGATTTGAAAGTAAATTTGAATGTACATTACGTAAAAATTATTATGAATTATCGTCACATTACTTTTTTTCAAGGTTGAAATTTACCTTATAATTATAAAAATTACATGGAATTTTACATTAATTTTTTTTTTTTGGTTAACAATAAATCACGGTAACTGAACCTGTTGCTTATGAATAAAGTAGTTATGAGTTATTTCTTATTAACGAGATGAAGGTTCAGACAACCACAATTATGGGCCTGAGAAGACCGAGGGTGGGGCAGGTGAGCGGTTTCAATGAGAAAATTTCGATTATACGTCTGTGACGTCTCTGCTCTGCTCGTGCGTTTCTTGAGTGCAACCGTCTGTGAGGTGTTCGTTGGATGGAAAGTGAAACTCCCACTTACTGCCGAATTAGCTAGCTTTACAATGACCTGTGCGTTTATCCTTTACAAGCTCTAACCGACTCTGGCTAAAAAAAGAATGGAGCTCAACGTGATGCCATTTTATTAAAATTGCATTTTTTCCATAAATACTTTACTTTTCTAACTGATAATATCAGACTTTTGAGATGTTACCCAATAACTATTTCGCCGTTCGTTCTTTTGGTTTGTGGGAATATGTGGTGATCTTCATATGAATAATTTTTGAATTTACCTATGGACAACTTTTTCTTGTGGAATAGATACAAAAGTTGGAGAACTGAATAAATACAACCTGGAGTTGTTTATTTTAGTCAACTTGTCATAGTCAAACCACTTTTTTCTCAGTTTACCTATTTTTTGTTGTTCAGTGCAGTGATGAATTGAAAATTGTTTAGGGAAGCTGACATGCCGGGTTCACTCCTGAATAGCTTTGGAACTATGGTTACGAAGCAATCAACATGCTCACGCTGTCCACTATTATGATGATCCCTTGTTAATGTTAGGTTGAACTTTATGATCATCTGAAAAGAGAATCAATAATTTGGACGAAAGCTGCTCTCTAACTTACCATTAAGGAATCCCTCTCAGTTTAATTCACTTTTAATTTTGTTCTTTTTGCGTAATTGGCGTTTTTTATTTTCGTTTTTTTTCTTGGTTTATTTAATAATCTTATTTTCGGTGACTGATTAATAATATATTCATAATCAATAACTGGTGAAATTTATAACATAAATTAATGACATACTATACCGTCAAGCACACTATGTTATCATAATACTCTAAAGTACAATTCGTTTGTTTTCGTTTTTTTTTTTAAATTTTTATTTCTTTTCCTGGCCTTTGTTTCTATATTTCTTACAGCCTTACATAAATCATCCAATTTATTTTTAATCTTATTACCGCAGTTAATTAACGACTAAATATGACATAATTTTCTGGAGCTAATTCTAATCGGTCAGATTAAATTGATTGATTGTTGCGTGGGACAATGCGTTTTCAGAAGTGTCAAGCTATTGAGACATTATGCAATCATTTGTTGCGCAATGAATGCCTTGCAATGTGCTTGAATGATAGGCAAGAGTGTCCCACATGCGGCAAACTCTGTTAGTCCAAGAAGTTGAAGCCGTACAATCTGCTTGAATGTCGACATTTGGAAAGAAGCATATTCCAAAATTTAGCCGAAGCGTTAGCAGGCATAAAGATGTGATGGAAACTGCTACATTAGGTCATATTCCAGGAGATGAAGCTGAGTCAAGTGAACAAGTAAAACAAATTTACCGGCCATACAATCAAAATCAGCTATAAACAGTGTACGTATATCTATACTATAGTCGCTCATCAATAATGCTAACGGAACACAATTGGCTTTTTCGAATTTAAGTAAAACTTGGAATAGTCCTAATGCGCCGGCTCATACCGCTTCAATTCTCGTACGTCTTTATTCTTTCTAGCCTATATAAATTTTCTGCGTCGCGGGATAGCTTTATTTGTTGTATACCGCTGATCACAATAAAACTGCTTTCTAATAAAAATCGGTTACAATTTACATAGGAATGCATTTTTATCGCTTGCACACTTCTTCACTTTCAAATGACGTTTTCTTTTTTTTCAGTGTTAAAAAACTTTTAGGTGTATTTTTTATTCAAAATTTTACTTTATTTTTAATATGCAAAATTGTAAGTGCCACTGTATATAGATAACACTATTGTTTTTGCTGTTTTCATAATGTTCACCATGTGTCTGTTTGAAGAGATTTCTGAATGTCTACGAACTTGGAAACACTATCAATTCTTCCTCTTCTTTCTTTTCTTCTGTGTATTTTCTTCTTTTGTTTTTCTACTCGACACCGCAGATCAAAGTTAAATGACGGTCAGAGTGTTTTTACATTCAATTACTCATGAACATGTTACCTAAGGGCTTAAAGTTTACTGCACTCTTTCATGGTCATCGTTTATATCTTTTTAATAAAATTTTCTGCACATTAGTTTCATTCATGTCTGTCGTTTTCTAGATCAACCGATTAATTTACACAAAAAGGCCACTTTGACTTTTTACTTTGTTAAGTTTTAAGTTATTTTTACTAATTTCTTTGTTTCTCGTTTTATCAATTAGATCTAAACTTCATTTATTTCACATCTCCAGTGGTTAAAAAAAAGCAAAACCACCAGAACTGCATATAGCCAAAATTCAGCAATCATCTTTTCTTCTTCATCTCCACTTTTCTTTTTCCGTTGCTTAGATCCCACGTCCAAATTGGCTTTTGTAAATACAATTTACACACAAATTTCAAAGTCTGTTTTTATACTTAATTTTTTTGAAGAAAGCTTGATTTCTTGGGTACTTCATGTTTTATTCCTTGTGTATAGAACGTTGAACAATCCTTTCTGTTAATTTTCAACTTTTTTTTCTTTTTCAGAAAATTTTCACTCCTTTCGTCAAAAATTGCACATTCGAGAGCTTGAAAATCGCATCCGAAAAACACCCGATTAATCCAAATCTTCCCTACATGGCTGTGAGATTATAATAAAGTTAGAGCCAGAATTTTTCATGAATCTTTATCTACTTCTCCAATTCACAAAAGACCTAAGCAGTCCATATATGTCGCTTTTGGAAACTTGGCTTAAGCTACTGAAGACAATTTTGCTACGCCGTTTTTTCTTACCTTCCCTCAGATGATTTACAATCATTTGTGAAGTTTAAAATATTTTCTCAAAATATACTAGGTATGGTTGACACTGGCGCATCCGATTCCTTTGCTGCTGCAGATTATGCAAAAATTTTTCTTCAAGAAAGTAAATACCTTTAGAAAAAGTTTAACGTATCATTAAAAACAGCTGACGGTAGTAAAAATGCTGCAGCAAGTTGTGTAACCATCGATGTTACTTTTAGGGGTGAAACTAATCTTATTGGGTTTTTGATAATCCAATAGTAAATCATATGCGCTGTTGTGTGGTCAAGATCGTTTAGACGTTTCTTCCACAAATTTAAAAAGTGAGGAGAAATGAGAATTGATCAGAGAAGAAGCATGTGAAAATATTAAGATTAATGCTCTATGAATTATAAGTTGCATTCACGTCGACTAACGTATCACGTTGAACAAACCGTATTTAGAATACATTTTTTCCAAAGTCGGTTAATGGTTCATAGTAGTAGTAAATTAGCAAATCAGTTCGAAAAAATTAAAATTATAGCTTGCCATGGCTGATATTATTATAAGTTTGAAGATCTTAAAGGCAAAGGAGATACCCAATAAGAGCGAACAAGCGTATTCCAATTTTGGCTGACGAAGCCACACTACGGTTTATTTTTCCAAAAGGTGTTAGAGCCCCAAAAAATATCACAAATGGATTTCCGTACGTTAATGAGTTGAAAATATTGTTTGGCAATTTTGGTGATGTGAGATGCAGGAGAAAGTTTTGAGCGTAGAACAAACGCCAAAAAAGTCGAATGTTTTAGCAAACGGTATAGAAGAACCATAAATGAGGAGAAGAGTAACCTTTCTCCTTTTTTTGTAAAGACCAAGCGTTTGGTTTTATTGACTGAAGGTATATTTTGAAGTGACTCAAGACAACGGAAAATAGTGAAGAGGCAGATTGCAAAGCACGCCTACACAGATCTGAATTAGAATTGTAAATAAAAATGATAAGATCGTCAGCATAGCCCACAATTGAGATGTTCCAAGGAAGGCAACTGAAAGTTTTGTTAATATATGAATTATGAGGAACACCTTTAAAAGATTTCCTTTGTGCAATAACATTATCATTGTTAATTAATATGTTCTTATGAAGAAAGAAGTCATATAACAAATTACAAAATTTGATAGGAAGTTTAGAGAGAAGAATAGAATTTAAAATGTTAACATTGACAGAATCAAACGCTGAATTTATGTCCAGAAAGCAGGCTAAGAGGATATGGTTCTTAGCAACGGCTGCGTTGATTGCTAACTGGAAAGTGATAATGTTGTCATCTAAAACCAACTTGAAAAATGCTCAGGATACATTGAGACTCGAGATGCCATTCTAAACTTGAGTATAACATTTTCTCGAAAATTTTTCTAAAGGTGGAAAATAAGGCAACACATCTTTAGAAATTAAGATTAATTGGCGTGTTATTCTTTTTTTTTAAAGTGAAGATCTGGAAATCGTGTCAGGAATAGGATATATAGCCGGCAAGTAAAATATTTTTACTGTCTTTTAGTAGAATTAATTTGTTCTCAATATTAAAAATTTTGAGCTGATTGTTACGACTACCATTTAAGCCCGGAGATGAGCCTTTTGAAAGATTATTGGCTTCATCGAGTTCGTATAGACATATGCCATCTTAGAAAAAATTATCACGATCTTCCTCAATGTGATACGGACGGCATTATAGGACTAGGAGGTCTAGCAAGCTTGTCATAGAACTCGTTAAACTGCGTGGGTATGGAACAATGAGAGAAAGTAATGATTCTAAAAATTCTCACAGCACGCCAAAGATGTAAGATTGACATGTCGCTATTGACATTTTGACAAAATTGTTTTTTCAGCCTGAGGGTATAAGTATATTCTACATATTTCTAACATCGCCCAAAAACAGGAAATCTACCCATCCATTAAGGATTAGGCGGATAAGATTTTTTAGAAGTTTTTCTGCTCAGAGCATCAGTGAAAAACTTTAAAAATCTCTCAAAGAAACAATCCGAAGAGCCATTGGTTTGGATGGTATTTGAAATGTTAGTATTGTTAAGTAAAGAAGGTTTGACATACTTTGAGACATAGGCATGTGAGTGGCATCGAATAATAGGATAGGTAATAGGATGCATGTGAAGACCAATTTCAATTGCACAGTGAGTTAAGGGTCTTCCAGGTACTCAGTGAACTTAGATTAGGTGTACATATCGAAAGATTTATGCAAGAAAAGACGGAACCAAAATGAACAGGATCACCATTATTTAGTAAAACTTACTGCTCAAGAAAATCTTGACTTTGTCTGACGTTTGAATTGGAGAAACGACTACCCCAATACACATTATGAGCATTAAAATCACTACGTATTAATGCTGTTATGTCGGATCTGAAAGAATAACCTGTTAATTGCAGAATCAGAAACATTACAATTAGATGGAGTATAACAACTTTAGATCACGAGTTCCCCAAAAAAACTGTGGTTGGTACAGCTACAAGCTTCAAGAGGTACACAATTTGCAAAATTAGACGCGTAAGAGAGTGAAAGTTTATAAGATATAAAGATTGCCACACCACCACCGTGGAGATACGATGAAATCTTATCACGTTATAATTTTTAAAAGAAAATGAATCGTGGCATTTAAGAAAAGTTTCAAAAAGGCAAACCACGGAGATGTTATTACAATGAACGTATTGTTCAAGCTATTTTGATTTGTTACGGATGCTGGTGGAATTAAATTGATCTATTTTCATTATTGCTTATTGGTATCTTGTGTAGATCGCGGGATAGAGTTAATAATAGAATTTGTTTTAGAGCGTGTCTCCACATTATGTAGTTTTCGAATACGTTCAGAAATTTAAGATATGTTAGAGGAAATGGTGGGATCACTTTGTGATCGGAGTGAAGATTGTCTGCGAGGATGTCACAGTCTCAGAATATGAAGATTTTATACTGGAAGGCGAGATGCTGACTTCAGGTTTTATCATCTTTTTAATTGAAACTGAGACAGCAGTCTCAACGTTTGGTCGTTTGACTCTTGATTGAGAAGTCGGCGGACGCAATTTAGGTAAACTTTCCAGAGAGAAGGAAAACTTATTATTGTATACGCAGGGGAATTGCAGTATGTGGAGTATGAATATTCAATTCTCGAACGTACAATAGACTTGTAGACATTTAAAGCCTTCTTTGGTGGGAGTCCATTTTTTAAATTGGTTAAAACTTTGATAACATTTGAGCCTGTGTAGCAATTTTCAAGAATGTCTCGGTAGTGAAATTTGATGGAGGAAGGCTGTTTGATTTTCGCGCCGTTAACTGTCATGGAGATAATTTTTTTAGAGCCCTTGGCAAGACGAATAATTTTTGATTTTTCAGGATTTAAAAATAAATTTAAATCCGCGCAAACTTTGTAGAAACCATTGGATTTGATATTAAGATTCTACTAACGATTTTCCAGCAGTAATAATTAAGAAATCATCATATATTGCAGCATATTGAAATAGATGGGTTGTGTTGTCCTGTAATCGATGTAAGCTGGCTGTATATAGATTGAAAAGTAATGTACTCAGACAGCTACCTTGAGGTAGACCTCCACAAACTTCACCTGAATTTGAGTCCATCACAAGAGTTTGCGAAGGAAGGAAATTTAGAATTCACAGTCTACATTGTGACGGTATTTTAAAATCAATTAGAATTTGACCTAGTTTCTCTAAATCCCCATAGTCCTGTGCTTTATTGATGTCTAAACTAAACATAACTAACTGGTTACGATTTGCTTTTTCACTTGCTATGGTGAAAATAACCTCATTAAGGCAAATACTGGTGGAAATGTGTTTTTGATAAGCATAGGACCTAGAGGGGAGCAGTTGTGAATTGTGCAGAAATTTAGTGAGTCTTTCTTTAATCATTTGGTTTGTAATTTTTAAAAGTACAGACAGGAGGGATACAGGTCTGAAATTTGTAAAATTTTCAAGATCTTTTCCAGCTTTAGGAATGGGTACAATTTTAATTGTACGCCAACCTATAGGAAAAGAGTTACTCATTCAGCGATAATTTATCGCAGATAGCAGAACTGAAAGACTTGGAGCGGAAAGAACCTTTACCTTTTCGTATTTAATGCCATCATGTCCTGCTGCTGTAGATTTCTTTTTTGATTTAAGGATATATACAAGTTTTCTCAATGAAAATGAAGAGATGTCTTCCAGCTGCAAGCTAAGCGAGACAATGTTGAGAGTATTTGTTGGGGGAACCTGGGCTTTAAGCCATTCTAGGTAAGGTCTGGTATTCTCGTCATTCCAAATGGGGCGTTTATATTTCCTTTTTGTAATGCGATGTCCATTCAAAAATTTTCAAAAAGGTTTTGTGTTGTCATTTGTACAAAGCTCTTCGATTACTCGAGCATAGTGACTTCTCTTGGTTTTTCGGTTTTTCCCTTCTTTTTGGGATAGCTTAAATTCATAAAAGTTAGGTAAGTTAGGATATTTAGCAGGTTTTATTTTTTATTTTATTTAATTTTTTATAATTTGCGGAAGGACGTTGTGAGCAACTCATTCCCCCAAGATTTTGGTGACTAAGAATTGGAGATATGTATGTTAAGACAGTAGAAATTATTGAATTCCATACTTTCACACAAAGTTTTACCTTTATTATTTGACAAAGAGTCACCAAAGCAAGTGTCTTGCATTAATATCTCCTGCAATAATGGTGTTGTAATAACCATCAAGCATATCACAGAGGCGTTTCATATCGTCCCGGAAACATTGGATGGGAGCATTGGGTTTAAAATAGCAAGCAGCAGACTAGATTTGGTTGTAGAGAAGAAGTTTTAACAATTACAATATCAGCAGCTGATTTGAAGGGAATTTGTTTGAAAGAGGTGCCTTTCCTAGTTAAAATAGCTACTCCTCCATAGCCATCACTCCTGCATTTGTAAGCGGAGTTGTAATTATGGATTTTAAGGTCTGAAATGCTATCATCAGACAGAAAAATTTCACTCAAAATTGCGAAATCAGTTCGACTGAAATTGAGGTGGTAATCCAATAAGCAGGTATTGCGCCTGAAAGCGAGGGCATGTTAGGACG